AGTCTATTTGAATGTCATCTTAAATCATATTTTATAATCAACCATGCTGTACACCCTTCTGAACCACTTCCAAATTCCTTAGCTATTAATAACTATTAACAGAAATAAGAGACTGGTTCTGCCTGAAGAAAAGATGGCTTAGGCAAATTCTAAGAGTAGCCTTGCAACGTCAAAGAGAATACAAAGCACAGCTCTTTATGGAGGTGCATCCTGAGAAGGATGGGAGATAAAGAAAAATCTCTTCTCAATGGCAGTCAGGCGTTGGAACTGACAGCCAAGACAAGTTGTGTAAACTCTGTCCCTGACACCTTTCAAAACCAACTGAACAAAAACCTGGTCTGAATTCAGTCTTCACCCTGCTTTGAGCAGCAGGTGAGACTAGATGACCTACATGACCTCCTGAGAACACTCATACAGTAAGTTAAGAAGGTAATTTAAGCAATACTCTAAGTTACCAGCGGCTGTCTAAGATAAATGCATTCTTTCCTCTAGTATGATAAGCTAGGCATTAAATTGGCTCAGGGAAGGCTATTCATGTTCTATTCATGTGTTTTGTTTGCCATTATGCAGATAAAAGATTACATTTTTAAAAGCTATGAGGTTTCATGGTCTCTATAAAGTGATTTCAACTCCTCTTTCATTACTCATAGATTATCTCTCAAATTTCCACTTTTAAACTGACCAATCCCACATGCTTGACTTCTTAACTTTGCTTAAGAATTTTTATTTTCTTTTATGTTTTTAAGATGTCCTCCTTATATTCTTTCAGCCTGCTGGCTTTCTTTGATGACCAAGATACTACACGTCAGGTATTTTCAAGACAATTAAGAAAGAGATGTTTTTCCCCCTGTTTCATCATGCTCCATGTGCTTAAATGGTCTTTCAGTGAGAATCTGAAAATCTATAAGCACTTTCAACACCACAGATTCTATTACATTAACTTATACATTAATTTCATTCCCCCTCTGAGACTTAGAACAGAACCACAGTAGCGAACGTCTTTCCCCCCACCATTCATTCCTGCAGAAAGAAACAAAATTGATAAAAAGAAAAATAACAATAGTACTATTGTACATTGACTAATAATTCTCCTTGCTGTGAAAGGAAAAGAGGCTACTGATGCCTGCAGGAAATTCAGAAAAATTAGAATTTGATGTTGTGGAGAATCAATGTAGAAAGCTATGCTTAGAGGATGAAGAAGTAATTCTGTGAGACCACAAAATATTCTTGTACCTCATGGGTAGGAGTAGATATCAAAAGTAGACAAGTTTTATCTGTTCTTATTGTCTGAGGAAATGACTGCAAACACACAGATGCAAAGGAGAGGAATACCTTATCGATGTTATATGTAGTTCCAAAACTAAATCTCTGTGGGAATCTGTTAAATATATACATCATCTCAAGTTTGCACTTCAGTTCATCCTGTGCCAAGAACACTGATACTTAAAGAGTGCAACCTTTTGGTACAAAAAGCTATAGTTACACTACCCCCTGAGGTGAACAAATTCTGCTAGGGGAGCAGAAGAAAGTATCCTACTGTTGCTCCATATTGCCATAACTAGGCCGTTTCACAATATGGAGATAAGGTATTTTCATATGATAAGACCAAGTGTGCTCTTTAAGCTAGCCATAATACACTTCCCTACTATAGTTTTTAAAAGATCCTAGTTCTTTACATCACTTCTACTTAATGTGGCAAGAGATCAGAAAACTCAGGTAGGAATAGTGAACCAATTACAATTACTGAAAATACCTACAATTTCAAAAAACCCTTTATAGCAGTATAAGGATGCAGGAATGTTGCTGCTTTAACTGATGAGATCCTTTATGTTCACAGAAGTGAGATTTAGATCAGTATTTGCAAAGGTCTTCTGAGGAAGAAATAGAAAACATTTATCTCAACTGTATCAAATTGCTTAAAACCCTATTTGCACTATTAGCTGTCATCTAATAGATACACTTAGAGATGTTATAAAAATCTGTTGTAACCACTATAAACAAGACTGATGCCAATCTAAATTCTAAGCCCTCTTTTTCACTGAAAATTTCCTTGAATAATTTCCACTGTGTAATTTCAGAAAAGTAAGAGGGAAAGCCTTGTCCCTCTACAAATAACAAGCTATAAGGAAAAGAGATCAGCCTAGGTTTTATGAAGAATCCATGTCAGAGGCCCAGGCTTCCACATTCATTTCACACATCCTATGGCTCTTGCTCAAGCCACTAAGCAACAGTGCTCCTGTGGCAGTTTGCCATAAAATGTAAAATAATAAAAAGTTATTTTAATTATTAGTCACTGTGGTTTACTCTTTGTCTTGTCTCTCCCTCAGAGGAGACTGTCCCACATTAAGGCATCTTAATAGACAATAACATTCATATTGCACAACTCGTTCAAATGATTAGCCATGCATATGGGATAGATAGGCATAACAGTACTTACAGATGGAGCAGGTATTGGCAATTTGATCTGCTCTCAGAGTGAACTGTTCACATAAACACAGTGAAAAATAAATCCCTGCAGATACTACAATGTTTTTCACTCAAACAGAAATTACCTGAACTGCATATGTCTGAAATAGTTTGCAAGGCCATTCTAGTCCAAGTTTTTAGACAAATATACAGTATTTTTTCATTAGTTATTAAGACTGGCAAGTTTGCATAGAAGATTTAAATGTAAATGACAATATTAAAACATTAGTTAATTATTAATCTTACACACACTTAAATCTTACTGGAAGGCAGCAGAGGATGCCCATTTTCAGATACTACTTTTACAAATTAAAAAAAAAGCCAGACCCTCCAGATACCAGGCAACCATGGGACACTCTCTTTCCCAGCTCCTACAGTTTTTAAACATTATTGTCCATTGCAGGAAAGCGTAACTTCATTTTCATGAAGAGGGAGCTATGTCCTTGCAGATCCATCAGATTGTCTTTATTTCTTCCTTAACAAAAGCTGAGAAGAAGATAAGCAAGGACCTCATAGGCATTCTGTTTCATACTGATGGCAGGTACTGCTAAGATCACAAAGCCACAATCCTATATGCCGGGTAACTAGAGAGATGAAGGAGAAGAACTAGATGTTTTATTTGTTTAGTACAACTGGCTTTTTGTTCGGACGTTTTAACTTCAGTGTGTGTAACAGAAATGCCAGATGGCACTTCACTTTGGCGTGCATACTAAAGGAGAACAGTGATTTAAAGGTGACCACAAGGAAGGCTAACCATGGACACCAGAACTCTAATTCCTCCGGGACTTTTACTCACATATTAGAAGCAGTAACATTATCAGAGGAAGTGTTTGCTTATCAGCAATTGCTTTCTGTGCAAACCAGACTTTGGAATACACATATAACAGATGAATAGATCATCTCAGACCCTTAAAATTAGCAAGCCTTTGTGCTTCACAGCTCATGCTTAAAGTAACTGTTTTAGAGAAAGCTATATACTGATTCTACCAAATGAGACAAGATGGTGTCCCACTCAGTTCTGGAAAGCTGCTGGAAGATGCTGACCTTTCAAAAAATATAGAGATGACATCACCTAAAAAGTCCAGCCTTAAGGATTTGCTAGGATTCAGTGACCAGAGATGTTACATCCAAAGCAGATGCATTAAACCAGAGCTTCACATGAGCAAAGGCTGGCCAGGTCCACCTTAATGGCCTCCTAGCTGGCAATCCCGTGTCCTGGCTGGGCAGACTTTCTGGAGATGTGTGCTTGAACACTACCAGATGATCCTGAGACATCGATCAGAAGCATAAAAAGTCGCATTTAAATATATAATGAAGTGAATGCCATCACTTTTGTGTCTAATAAATACAACATCATTTACACACATGAAGCCTTTTACCCGACATGCATAACCACGGGAAGATGATCTAATTTGCTGTTCTTTTCCCTACTTCTGCTAGAAAAACTGCTGTCCTATTGTTCGACTCACCCTTTACAAATCAATGTTTTTAGCACAGGTACTGAACCGTGCTAATTCATTTTAGATGGTTGTTAAGTATAACTATCTCCATTTGTTAAGTATAACTATCTCCATTCTTTTTAAACAGCTCCAGATAAAGTACAAAAGTTTAATATTTTTTCTTTTGACATCGCAAAGCAAAGTACAGTAGAAACTGAATATCTATTTTAAGAGACAATATGTTTTCCCAGTATCTTTCTACCACATACTGGCTAACAATTATGGTTAACTCAGTGGTTATACCATTCCATGACTATCTGCCTAAACGTTCCTCAGAGTATGAATCTGAGCAAACAACAAATTTTTAATGTCAGAAGAACTCAGACAACTCCATCTACCAGGTAAATTTGTCATTTCTGAAGCTTAGCAGGCTCACCATCTCATCAAACCCTGACACTGCAGGAGCTCTGTCTGGGGCTGAAGAAAAAGGCTCTTCTGGCATACAAAGGACTTGTGGTAATGTACCATTTTTCCCTCCCTCCCCCCCCTCCTCCCTGACTCAGTTCTCATATTTGGATTACTAACTTCACTGCAGCTTCTGCATAGCTGTGCTTCAGGATCATGTTTCAGGATGTAATTAGCCTTACAAAAAAATGAAGGGAAAATGCTTCAGTCATTTTATTTTCCATGTATAAACTACAACTTATGGTGAAATCATTGCTGTAAATGGACAAAAAAATCTTCCATGATGAAACTTCAACAAAAAGGTTTGCTGCTTGTGGATTACAGGCTATAAGGGCAAGACTGGATTAAGAAAATATGAATTAAAGAAAAAAGTTCTAATTTTAATAGATGTTTTTATGTTAAGGTTATGCTTGACAAAATGTATTATCTCTATCAAATAATAAATCTACATTAAAATCATGCCACCTTGAAACTAAATTTCTGAATATATAAACCAGAACTGAATAAAATACACACTTTTTTGTGTCTTTTGAAAACACTCCACTTCCCTGTTCCTTATGCAACTGCAAGTACTGAAAGAGAATTTCCAGCTGTGCCTTGTCAGCCTACGGACCGAACACATTGTGCTGCTTTTCATTTTCCTTAAGTGAGCTTTTTAGTTCTTCGAGTAACAGTATTAGCTGATTCTCTGCACACAGAACAGAACAGCGCTTTGTCCCCAGGGAAAGAAGCTATTTCAGATTTAACTAAGGAATCATCTAACATGTTTCAACAATCCCTACTGTTTCTCTGTTTGTTTTAAAGATATCACTGTGATTTTGTTTCATTTGCAACTGGAGACTAAATGACACCAAGCAGAATCTGCTGTTAGGTTAGATTACAAGGTAAAATGTTTTAAATTTTAAATTACTGCTTAAAGCATGGTGCTGAATGGCTTAAACTACATTTTAACTTTGCAAATATGTATGAAATAATATTAGCTATATTTAGCAATACTGAACATAAATGCTTTTCTAGATAATGTATGCAGTACCAGTTGATCTGCTTTTTGTTTGTTTGCCACGCACTTCAAGCTTAAACTAACTGAAAGTGCAAATAGTTTTGCTGGTATGGCTAAATGTAACTCATTTCTATGCAACAAATTTAAAGAGAAGTATGTGAAAAATCTTGGTAAATCATTTTAACCCCTGTGTATCATGAGAAATAACCTTGACATCTTAGAAACATGTTGGAATTTAGACTGAATACATAAAGATAGATTATTTAATAAATTCTGACATTCTAGTATTTCTAAAGGGTCACTACTTTAACAATTAACTATTTCCATTAGCATAATAGCAAAATGACAGATACTAAACTTACTGAAGATAAAAATGTTGAAAGCTATAAACTACTGAACACAGTACATGACAAAAGTAAAGATAATAAAGATGGTTATACATACTATGCATGATCTGAACATCTATAGGTAAAATGAAAAAAAAGTAGAGCAATGCAGCCACATTGAGAGTATCTGTCACTGCAAAAATATAATAATTTCATCATATTAGCTATTGACAATTTTATTTTGATATATGATAATTTGTTACAAAGGTCACATAAATTGAATAGGCTGAATTTGCCCCAAATTAAATTTGGCTGGTATTATATAACTTTCTGATAGATGATCTGAGGATTTCAGTCATGGACAATAAAGGCCCAATGCATTTAAGGCCTTTTTCTTGTATGACATACACAATTTGGACCTTAAGATGTGAGACAGCACTTATTTAACAAGCCAAAGAAAGAAACTTAGAAACAGAGCTCAGTATTTTGCATGCAGGGAACACCATTTGGTTGAAAGTAGCACTATTAAGGTTTCAGTAATGAAGGATTAACTTGGTATGAAAATATAGCATATAAACACATATTTGAACAGGATTAGTTTATAAAGACATATTATTGGGGGGGGGGGGTGCAGGGGGGGGGGTTGTTTTCCATTGTTGCTTTTTGTAATGGTTTGTTTTGTTTTTAATTTGTAATTATAAAGTATTTTATGAAAACAAGTTTCATGTTAAAATAATTTTATTTCCTATATAGTTTTACTCTATATTGATGTTAACAGCAAAGTCCTGAGACAACTTTTGTACAGAAACTGTATCTTAATTCACCCTATATTAGTCCTGACTTCTAAAAGCTACGTGCATCGAGAATGGAAAACTATTTCAGTCATGCAATTATATGCCTATGGTCACAAGAATTAATGGTTAAATGTTAAAAAAAAGCACTAATGCAATGCAGTAACTATATAGCTATGGCTTTATTATAAAGTATATATAAAAATGTGACCATAATTAAGATGTCACCAACTCAACAGAATGAATACACATGTTCAGGCCTTTTCTTCATATATTCAGTTTTCCCTAAGGGCTCTTTGTGTGTTTCATTCCAACTTGTGGAACAGAAGTTTACTGTGTAATTTTGTAGCCAGTCATTACCATGCATGTAAGTTAGAAACCAAAAACATTAGGTCATTTGTCCTGCAAGCTGAGGTACTAAGAAACAAACGTTTTCTGAAAAAGAACGGACATCATCAGTGCAACATACAAGCTTCTGCATCTATGCAATATGTTAACTAACAGTAATTTCTGTAAATAAAAGGCCAGTATAAAGTCTATACAGAATTTTGGAATAACTGATTTTTAATGGGTAGCAAACAGTAAACTGAAGTCTGGATTAATTTCAGAACCCTGCTATTACGTAAGATGTTATATGGATCTGTGTGAGACATTTGCGTCTCAAATTTCTCTATATGGAAATAAAAACATCAGCTTAGCTTAACAGAATTCTGCAAATTAATATACGTTTGCTATAGTATTTTAAAATCAGAATAGTTGAACACAGAAACTACAGTAGTAGAAGTAAAAGCATACTGTTTAAAACACATTTACTGTCAACTTCCCATTTAAAAACATGAGAATAAAAAATATGAGAATTATGCTGTTGAAAGCATGAAAAGCATGCAATCAATCACATGCCTTATGTTAAAGAAAAGTTAGGCAATTTGTACCAAAAACTTGACCTATTATATAAATCAGAAAATACCAACTTGCACAAGATTAAAAAAAAAAAAAATCTGATTCAGGCAAAACCACAGTTCAAGTTCCTGAAATAATACTATCCTGTATTTATACAACATAAATAACTATAATATGACTAACTCCAAAGTGAAAAAAATATAAATCCAGACTGATGAACATTAAGAAAAAGCATTTTTTTAATCCCCTCAAGAGTTCTTTAGAGAAAAAACATGGACATACTCTAAGCCTTGTCTTGGGCACAAAGATTAAGTTCTCAAAGTCTCAAGTTCTTTACTAATTCTCATCATCACAAGAATACTAGTGTCTTCAGACTGTCTCAGTTAAAGAGGCCACAGGACAAGAGTGTTTCCTTTTTGAAAGAATGATGCCAACAGAGCTATGACAAATCATTAATAACTTTGGACTTGCACAGACTTACTTCCATACTGGTACAGCCATTGCTGGATATGCTTTCTATTCATACTCCTGAATCTCGACTGCTCTGTTTTGGAATGCCACCTATTGGTGACACTAAATGCAATTTTTTTTTGTCAGAAGCATAAAAAGTCTCAAGATATAAAATGATTTTTAATTTCTTCAAAAGTAAGTGCAGAGTACAACTCATTATAGATCAGGTTTTTTAGGCTACCTATGCTTAATAAAAACTTCCCCTAGAAAAGCAGACATGGGATGTCACAAAGAGTACTTTTGTGATCAAACTTCTAAAAGGCCTCCTCTTCTGCAGAACCAAAAAGATTCTGTTAAAGAAGAGAATGGCTAGAAATGGAAGCAAAAGCAACATCTCTTTTCATCTATGGTGAAAAATACCTTGCACAGAAAATACAAACCAAAAGCATTTGGGGCAGCGTATCAGAAACGAATTGGGCATTTTTCTGTTCCTTTGCCATTCCCATCTTCAGAAGTTAAAGCAACCTGGACAAAATACTAGCAATCGAAAAAGTGAAGAAACACATCAAGAAACACTCTCAGGAACTCCCTTGCTGGAAGCAGTAACAATTACTAAACTACAAATGCCTGGTGGCACTGCAAATCTAAACTACCTCTTTAAATGCAACTCCAAACACAAAGCTAGCACCTATTTGAAATTGACTCCTGCCCATAAGGACGGAGAACCACGGAACTAAAATTGCTTACTTTAGCTCTCACAGGGCAATCTCTTTCCAAAAGGAAGCTTGGTTATACTGACCTACCACATAGCAGTCCACACGCTTTGAAAAGGGCACCATGTGACTGACAATCCTAAAAGCTCTCTAGGTACCTAATTTTCCTCTTTTTTTCCCATTCCAGGATACTTGGAGACACACAAAACCATGCAGGCTACATCATTAATCTATTATTTCCTGCTTGTGTCTCTGTGCATTGATATTTCTCAAAATGAAACTAGTGCACTTCTCAGGAGGCAAAGGAGAAGAATGCGCTACAGAGGATTGCGGAGGAGCTCCTCAGCAGGGCACAGGGCCCCAAGACAGCCACGGATGAAGCTTCCAGCTCCTGTTGCTGTAGTACCCAGCATACCTCTTATTAATATTGATGACGGTGTTATGGGAGTATTTGACTCTCTCATAGGCTTGGGTGGACATGAATCTAGTTACAGTGTTTTACCAGGTAAGAATAAAGCCCCTCTACTACTTCAGAGTGGGACAATTTTTTCAAACACAACGTATAAAATTATAAAAGCTTTATTTTAGCTCTACTTGCAAATTAAATAAATCTCAATTATCTTTTTGCTAACCTACTTTTGTTGCCTTTTATAGCAATTTTGTGGTTAGCATATGAAGCTTTTTAATTGTCTGTGCTTAAGCTTTACTGAGAATCCTGCTTCACCAGGTAACAGTAATGTTTTCTGCAATTTTTCTGCATTCTCATTTCACCTTACCTAATAAAAATGTTGTTGGGATATTTTCATAATTTCAAACATAGCAAGTTTGAAGGCCATTTTGAAGAATTTCTTGCTCAATTTATATTCTAAGTCAATTAACATTTGACTGAGTCCCTAACACCAATAACACCAGTGTTATTTAAAATGGATTTCTTTTTTTTTAATTATATTTTTGAAAAGCAGCATACAAACTATGTCTACATGCACTATCTCAGGAATAATTCTTTGTTTCGTAAATAAATTAATAACACACAGTAACAGTTGCAATATGAAATTTATACTACAAACAACACCCTTGTGTTGGAAAACTAAGCTAAGAGAGAAAAAAAATGCTCATTCAACACAAGATCACTCTCACCCTCCATCTATATTGAGAACCCAGATTTATTTAAAAGAAGTTCAGTAGTATGATTTGCATAAAATTTGCCTTTTTGGTGATCTAAAGGTTTTCACATCTCTGCACTAATATGTATTTTATGGTTTCTGAAGGAGATGTAAGGAAGAAGATTCGGTGTCTTAAGAAACAAACAAACCAAAAGCGTAATTTCCTTGATCTTTGCTGAAACCTGCCTTGGCAATCATAGCAGGAGTTTCTCAAGGCTCCTTAAAGGACACAAGACTAGACAGGGGTCGAGAACTGGTAGTTAAGTGACTCTGGGATGTTGTGAGGAACCAGTGGGTCATGTCCACTCTATAGCTAATAAATATAAAGGCATAGATATTTCCATTCCATCGCCAAGAGATCACACACTGAGTAAAATCATCATATGCAATTTTATGAAAAAAAAAAAAAAAAAAAAGAATGTTCTGATTACCACTGTTCTACATAAAATGATAATAATCTATTTTTATAAGGAAAAAATTAAGCCTTTTCTTGTGTCACACAAGAAACATGACCCCTAGGTTAACAGGTCTCAACTTAAATGGCAAACATATTTTAGTCACATTTTCTTAACAATTACTATTTGTTGTGAGTCCTTACTTTCAGAAAGGCTGAACCATTTCAAACCATGTGCTTTTGCCAAGAAAGGTTGGACCAGATGATCCTTGAGGTCCCTTCCAACATGGTATTCCATGATCCAAATATTTTTAAGTAACCGGTTTTAATGGGAAAACTAGCAAAACTCTTGACTATAGCATTGCTAGCATGTACTACAGTATTACTGTTATAATACACACTACTAATGTCAAAACTTTTAATTTAAAAATATTTTTTAAATTAAACAGAGGAAAATACCACATAAATAGCATGCACTTCATGTAAGATATTCCAGTGTCTCTGTCAGAGACCATCAGTCATGCTGAAATGATGCATGGTTCTTCCCCCCTCCCCACCCCATTTGTTTCTTTCTATCTGGACTTGCATCCAAAAGCTGAGCTAAAACCACTGAACTCATTTTATTTGGAACTTCATGCTGAATTTACACCATATTTCCAAAGGTTAAAAGTCCTGTCCTCAGCTGCCAAAGACTTCAACCACAAGGTATTTTTTAGTCTAGCTTTTAAAGTTCAAAATTTTTTCAAGTTAATGTCAGATTTGGAAAAAACAGAGCCTGTTTAATAATACAACACTATTATTAATCATGCTTCAAAACAGAAGAAAATGCAATCTCAAACTTAATTTTCATTCCCCTAGCTACTTATTTTGCTCTTAGTAGCCTAAAAAACAATTTACAGATATCATATGCATGATGAAAATTAACAGTTAAACAAGGTTTAACCAGCCATATTTCCTTCTTCCATATAAAAATCATTTGCATATGAACCATTTAAATTAAACAGCTTACCGCAACATAAGATAATTTGCAGTTGTTTGTCTTCACAGTCTGCCTATTAAGCAGTGAAGAACAGGATGTACACTGTTGCACTATTTCTAATATCTCTTTAGCCTCTCTTCTCCCTGTTCATACCACCATACTAAAGTTACTCAGTGGATAGGAAGTTTAAGGAACATCTCAACGCAGTCTTTATTGTCTCTTAGGGGTTACGTGAGTTGCAACAGAGTGTCAAATAGCAGTTGTGTAAGACAATAAAAGGGTACCTCTTTGCCTTTAAGCACATGCTCTTGCCTTTTCACATAACTCCCATGTACACAGAAAACAAGATAATTTGTTAAAGAAGTCTGCCCAGGCCAAGGCCTGATAACCCATATCCTTATGCTTATTCAGACAAGATTTGCACCAACTTCAGATACAGTCTAGTAGCCTAAACAAAATAAAGAATTTAAGGAAGCACAGAAGAATTTCCATCTCAAGCCAGATATGCTCTGCTGGAACAGCTGACATTTTATTGTTTAACATGAGAAAGTGTAGTGTTCTCTTTGTGTTTCCTTTGGAGATTATTTAAAAGAAATATTGTGGCTTCCTGGCAAGCACATAAAAACCAGAAGTCAGGATCCAGCAAACAGCTGGATTACAGATACCTGGATAGAACGACAAGGGACTTACAGCCAGCTAACATTTGGCCTGGGCTAACTCATCTCCTCCTTCAGTTAACATGGCTTGAGTTGATTAGAGCACAACTTTATGCGGCTGAAATTATGCATACATATCCTGGACCTTTGAAAAAACAAGATGCAATTGTCCAAAAAAATCAATTTCTCCCCCTTTCTATCCTGAGCGTAACTTAAATTAAAACAGCTTTTTTCAAAATATAAGGAATATTGAGGAGCATACAAACAGACTGATTCTGATAATTGATTTATATTCTAGAAAACAGGTTCGTGTCCAATAGTCTTTAAATAGAAGGGCAAAGGAATACCTTTGTTAAGAAGCTGAGAGTAGGACTGCTTTGAAAGACTTTACAAATTTTCAGTCAAATATTAATTCCAGAGTCATTTCAAACCAAGTATCTACAATAGTCTTGTCAGGATATTTAGAGACTATCCTGCATACTCTTCTTAAAACTGAACCACCAAGCATGAACCTCGGTGGACTGTGGGAAAGCAGACTCTGCAAACACAATTTGTCTATTGCAAATAGAAATGTCTCTTGCTTGTAAATTCAACCGAGGTAGGATTTTTCCACTGTATTAGACAATCTTCATCTGAAGAAGGAAGTCAAACCAAATAGGAAAAATGGAAATTTTTTTTTTATTTATACACAGAAAAGTACAAAGTAACTTAGGAATGGGGTTTCAGCTTGAAACAAACACTTCAGCAGTGTATTCCTAATTAGAAAGAGGAAAAGGAAGGTGTGTAGGGAATAGAGCTTCTCATCAGCTTCAGAGGGACACTCAAAAATAGGAGAAGATTTGCATGGGATGAATAATTTCAACCTTGGCTTTCCTTCTCTCAAAAGACCAAAAAAAAAAAGTATCATGCTAAAGTGCAATGCTTATCCTGGAGTCTGGATGGGAACTGCCCAGGGAAACTTGCTGAGGTAGAGTCCATCACTGGAAGGAAAGAGATACAGTTTCCTTCCCAAGTCTTTACACTCTCTAAACAACTTGCCTACTGAATATCTAAGTGTAGCTTACAAAACAAATCTCTTCTGCATTTCTTTCTGAAAATTTCAACTGGTATGCTGGGGAAATCTCATTTTTTATAGATTCATGTCCAGAAATTTTGGAAATGAAGTCTGTCTTAGCACAAGTTGTTCAAGCTTGCTACGTTCCTAGCAAAGAGGTTTTTTCAGTTAAAGCAAGTTACAGGGAAGAGATGTTTGCCATCTTACCAGTCATTACAGAATGGACTTCCGTTAAGTCTATGAACAGTTACTATAAAGTGAATATTGCTACCCTCCCAGTTTCACAGAACCTTAACAAAACTTTCTCATTTAATGTGCAACATATTAGAAAAGATGGCTAGTGCACAAGAGAGAAATAGAAGGGGGGTCTGGAAAAAAAATGTTCTCAAGTTCTGCATCGTTTATTTTAACTCCACTGTGATAAAGAAAACTTTTGCTTCTTTCTCATCTGTATCTATGCACAGCTTTGATTTAGATCTGTGAATTCTGCTTTCCATTCCTAAGGATGGAGAGAAAAGAGGAGCTGCCATGAAAAAGATCCTTAGAAACTCACCACCTAGATTTAATTTTCCCATTTTAGGAATATCTCTGAACTTGAATAACTTCAAGAATTTTTCCAGAACACAAAGCTGGTAAGGGTCCTCACAAGCTGGCTAGGAAAAGGGGAAAATGAAATATTATGATGACTGCCTGAAATAGAGGGAGCACAATTAGAGGAACAAAGAACCTTTGCTCTGTTTTCACTGTGAAGCTGTAAGCAGGTAACAGCTACGTACACATTAATTGTGTGCCTCCCCCTTGATTACCTTCACACCTGAGAGGCCAAGAACCAACTAGGGATTGGTACCTACTACTAAGCTGGAGAAAATACACTAATGAAAAATAAGGAATAAGGGTATAATACTTAGAACAGGGTGTATTTTACATATTTTCAAAATGAGAACAAAATAGTAGTGCTTCTTGCCAAAGTTTTAAATAAATACTATTGGTTTTATTTCAGTTTAAGATATTTAACTCCAACATTCTAATTTCTTTTCTCAGGAAAGAAGGGGCACTGCATAGCTAATGGGATGATTATGTATGATAAAGCCGTCTGGTCTCCCAAGCCCTGCATTACTTGTCTCTGTTCGAAAGGAGAAGTGATATGTGATACAACCATGTGCCACGCTCTGAAATGTCCCCAAACGATTATACCTGCAGGAGAATGCTGCCCGGTTTGTTCTGATACTGGTACAGTACACCATAATATTATTTACTATTTTAAAACTACCTCATGCAAAACCCAACATAAATACTACATGTAATGATATAAAGGATTACAAGGTACACATTACCCTTTTAGGGAGAAAACAAATGCTGAAGAGCAGGTTTTCATAATTTCTACTCAAGTTGACTTCTGTTTCTTAGAGTACACTGGCTGTTAGATGAGTTTGATACAATACTTAAAGAAAAGATGTTAAGCATGCAATAGTAAAGATAATTATATTTATTTTTTTATGTTCCCCTTTCTGTTTCTTCCCTCCTATTCTTACAAAATTTTGGTAAATGTATTAAGAAAGAACATCTGGTTACATTTTATATGCCACTTCCATTTAACGAAGAATCATTCAATTACTACTAGCCATTATTAATGTATTAGACATATATACTAAACATCATACAGTTTACAGACTGGTAAATGTTTGTTAGGAGTGTAAAAACATGCAGCTATTTGATACAAATCAAGAGAAGAAAGTCAACTTGTAAGTAGAACAACAGAACTACAATCTTGTTGCTTCTTCATAAAAATTGAAACAAAATCAGCATCTTTAAAACAAAAAGGAATGGAGGAGATAAAGATGAAATGTGATTTCCTTCCCCCACTCCCAGTACTCTAAGTCTCAAAGTACTGGACTTAACCTCCTCTTAATGTAAAAGTATTATTTAGCCTTGTGTGTGTGTGCATATGTGACAGAGAAAAACACCAAGTAGAAACATCATAGAAATTAACTGTAGAGCTAGAAGTCATGTTGATTGAAACAATTATAATCCTTTTATTTGAATTGCTCTGTTATGCAAGTAAAAACTGCATTTTGGTAATGAAGTTAACATGTTTCCCTGGTGAGCTCCCCACCTGCAGCACCTCTACACCTGACTGTCCCTTGCACAGGAGAACAATTCTTAACCTTTGTGAATTTTGTTTACATTACCTTCCTCTCACTGCCAGACACATTCTTTTTCCTCATTAGACACCTCCATCAACACAAAAAACTAATCAATATATTAGTTCAAAAAGGAAGATAATGAAGGCTATTTTTTTTTTTTTTTTTTTCTGGAGTTGCAAGGAATCATAGCTGTCTACAAACTGTTCTGTATGGTTGGATTAATCATTTCTCAGTCAAAGTATGTCTCATCTGTCAAGCAGTAATGTAAGACCATATTTTCATTCTTTCAAATCATATTCCAAGGGCAATATTATTCTTCTATAGTTACGATATTTTTACTATATGAGGGGAACAATGTTTACTAAAATTTTAGTTTCATTTCCTCTTATCAGACAACTTTTTTTTTCCTTTTGTTCTCTGCATCTGGATAGCCTCCTCTTTGGATTCAAGTATTATTTCACTGGATGACATAAGTGAGTTGTCTGGTGATTCTCCAGAACCCAATGACCTTGACAACACCAATGTACTGTCATCAGCACGTACTCAAACTGAGAACGATGAACTGCTTAGAACAAAAGTGGTAGAGTTTAAAGAGAAAAAGGGTCGTAAAAAGGATGAAAAGAAAAGAAAAAGGAAAGGCAAAAAGAATCAACAGGCGTATAAAGCCTACCACAGAGGAGAGAAGCCTGTAACAAGAAAGGGAGCTGCAGAAGAAGAAATACAATATGAAAGTGATGAAGATGATGGTACTTTCAGAATGCCATCTCATGTCCCAATTCCTGTTCCACCCATAGAAGCTCCTCCTTTGCCATCTGGATGTTCCACCTCAGACACCACAGTAAGCTGTATTAACACCAAACTTACACAAATACCCCCAATCTCAGATCCAGATCTAACAAGTCTAGACCTTACAGGTAATTAGTGAGTCTACTTTGCATGATTTTTCTCATGAAGTAACATTATCCATTCCCAAATACAGTCAACAGCAGTGTTAATACTTTGTTGTTCCTTATCATAGAAATGTATTAGAATGAATTTTACAGCTGAGCCTCTAAAACAATCAATTAAAAATGTTAGATTTGCTCACTAGTGTTTAAATACTAATATGAATGTATCTACATGGGATTATTGTACATAATACAATTTTTTTTCTAACATACTTTTAATGTACACTACTACACAACTGAGATGCGTACTGCAACTCATACCTCAACTATTTTCCTGAATTCCATCCTAGGAAACAGTATCACTACTATCTCAGATGAATCATTCAATGGGATACCTAATTTGGAATGGATTGATCTGAGTAAAAATAACATTACTTCTCCTGGCATAGGTCCACAAGCATTCAAAGTAAGAAAGCCTAACTTTTCTACTATCCTAGCACTAATTATTGCTTAAAGGAAAGTTTTTCCTGCTTTTCAGTCTATACATCTAAACCACTTTGCACCTAATATGAGTAACCATTGTATAATTATAATGCAGTTAAACCTGGCTATTTCAAGAAACCTCTCATCGTAATCAAGAATAACTAGAGAATGGCATTGACCAACTATTAAATGTTAAACAATAAGAGAGAAGCTATTTTCTGATATTTTATTGGTGGCGGTTGAGAGATTTCAGAATTGAAGGGCTCCTATTCCATTAACAACGTCTGGGATATTCAGGCCCAACATATGTAAATTTATGTATCATCTTTCTCACTACATTAGCTCTGTGCTCTTGAATTAGCCTGTGCTCTTGAATTCCCAAAAAGATCTGCCTATGCCAGGTCTTGCTCAATAGCAGTTTATGTAATCAGCTGTATGCTTATTGTTGACTGTCTTTAATGAGAAACTTTCGAGCATAGCTACTTACTAAAAGAACAGCTTAGTCATAAAATAGTCTGAGGATATATATTGACTCTTTCTCTTGCAAGGGGAATTTACACAGTGACAGGCTATTCCAGTGCATTTACATATTCCTCACTTGAAGACAGAATAGTCCCATAATAATCTCTCATTCAAGTGCATACAGATAGTAATGGAAATGTGGAATTAAGGCATCGAGGCTTTGTTTTTTCAGGCAAGATGAATACAAAAAGCATATGAACAACAAATTGAATTATCACGGTATGTTTTTAATTTTGTTTCCTGCCATATGCAATCAGTCTTCTTGTAGGACTCTCTGTATACCACCTCCATCCATAAAACATGAACAGCTTTGGCTGACTGACTTCAAAGGACTTCAGTTCCTACAACTCCTATGAAATCAAAGTGGATGGAAAAGACAAACCAGGAAGGTGTCTCAATCATTAAATAAATTTTAGTGAGGCTTATATCGTACCAGGCAGTTAAGACAAAACTGGAGGAAAGGAGGCTTCAGTGGATCCACTACTAAACCAACTCCACCTTCTTAAGAAGTGCTCACTACTGCATGATTACTAATGTGCATTTGTAAAAATTAAGCTATGATAATTTTTCATACCAATTTTCTTAAGTTGGCTGAAGTCATAAAAATCCTAGGTGATTGAAAAAGTTGCTGTCAATATGCTTAAGTAAATTTGCTGACCTACAGAAAACCATCAATTTGCTCAGAAATTAAGAGTATAAGTGCATTATCTATAAAAGTATGCACTCTGAAATCCTAAATACTGCAGTAATGTAGTAAGGTAATACTTACAGGAGTTAAAGACAGTAGCAGTAATACAAATAGTTATGACTGGATAGCTGCAGGGTGGCCATGTGGAAAGCTGATGTGCTCAGTCGAGCTCTTCTGGTTACACATTACATTAGCTGGCACCTTTGTTATTATTTAGCATAAAGAAACCAATTAATTAGACTGATAGAAGAAAAATTTTTTTTATTCAAAACAGTGGATACTAGTGCACTGCTGCTGAAAATCTTCAAAAAGCAATGTATTTAAGAAAAAGTTAACTATTATTACACCATATGTTTAATCATATATTTTACACCATGATAATCTAAGTTGTCTTCTTCATCCCTATGATTAAGATCCTGAAAAAGCTAAAACGTTTGTATTTGGATGGAAATATGCTGGTGCATATTCCCTCTGAATTGCCATCTACTTTGGAAGAAATAAAAATAAATGACAACCACCTTCATGCCATTGATGAAGACAGCTTACAAGGTATTTAGAAAATTAATATTGATCATATGAATAAGATTAAAATAAATTTGAAAAGAAGAATGTTCAACCAAATGCATCTGATTTTATATACCCCCAAAAATAACTGCTAGCTTTTAAGCGCTGTATTTTCAAAAGGCAACGAAAGATGAAAGATTTGCATGACAAAGTTTTTTAAATTACCTTTTCCCTTCTTATGCAATGTCTACTCTCTCAAAGCACTTAATATAAGATTACTAAGTAAAGATGGATTTGAAGTATGTTGAAGATACCTACTCTCCTGACCCATATTCTGATTGTTGTACATGTGGTGACACTATCTTAATTATTTTTTAAATTCCATGAGAGTGAACAGAATTTCACTTGCCTGATAAATAAGGCAGAATGTATGGAGTTAACCACAATCATTTTAAGTCAAGCTAAATGTGGGCTGATATCAAAACAAGAAAAAGAAAAAAAAAGGGGGTGGGGGGGTGGGGAGGGAAGCACAGAGGGAAGGAAACCAGAAAGGGTACCATCCATGTCATAATTTGACCATTTTGCTCCCTTTCCTCTCCTGGCAAAAGGGTCCCTGTTTAATCTGGATCAGTTTAGTGATACAGCTCACTATGGAGCAATATAAATACTTGAGCTAAGACAAAGAAAACTTAGGCAAAGGGCTGAAAGAGGCTTTTAGTTTAAAATCAAACTGCACTCTTAGGAGGAGCTATACAAAGGTTCTGTCTGAAAAAAAAAAAGTTATTTGGATTATGTATGAATGCGTAACTTACTATTATGAAATATTATTTCCTGCTTACTTATGCTGATCAACATTGGTTTCTTCTGTGACCTGCATTTGGAAGGCTGAGGAGGAGGAACAGGATAGTTTGTGATGGGTTCTCACCACAGTTCAGTAGGTGGTTGAAAGGAGTAAAGCAGGGAGGGGAGGATACAAACCCAAAGAAGGAGTAACATACCCGTTATCACGTAAGTGACTGGAGACCCATGGAGGTTACTGGGCAAGTGCACAAAGGTCAACATCCACACAGTATTCCAAATATCACCTGCACATAACCATGAAGTAATAAGGCCTAAATGGTAGCACTATCCAGAAGTCTTACAGTTGCCTTCTTTTCAACTTGGGAGAGCTATAAATAATGCTCTAAGTCAATTTCCAAAGTTCTACAAACTAATAAACAATATAATTCTGTGAGATAATAAATGAAAATCCTTTCACTATATTTCTTCATTGCTGTGAACTGATGTGAGTAATGTTTAAGATGATTAAATTTTAAACGTGCATTTTAACAAGATATGAGATGGCATTAACTAACAAAAAATCTACCTTTTTCTTCCCAGGTTTAAAGAACTTGGTCACCCTGGAATTAGAAGGAAATAAACTTAGTGAAGCAAATGTCAGTCCTTTGGCCTTTTATCCTTTGAAAAGTCTATCTTACTTGCGACTGGGAAGAAATAAATTTAGAATTATCCCACAAGGTCTTCCCGCCACTCTTGAGGTAAAAACAAAATAACTGAAAAAAAAAACAGAACAAAACAAAAACAAACAAACAAACAAAAACACAAAAAAAAAACCACCAAAAGAAGAAAGCTTAATTTGTCCAGACATTTTCATCATTTTCTTGTTCAACTTACTGCCTTACTATCATCAGGTAGAGCTAAATTTAACTTTTATAAATTTCTTTCTAGATACACTAAAACTTTTTATTCCTAAATCATTAATTCTAGGAATTTACTTAGATACCAACTTCATTCCAAAAGGTATCTTGTCTGAATTTATCGAGTACTGCCTCACAAAATAGTATAGCCTACAACTTCTGTCTGTTCAGTGACACATCGTTCACATCACACTCCTAACACAGATAATGTCTTAATGCAAAAACATTGTGAACTTTGAATTACCACACAAAGTTCACAAAACAGCATCAAAAATGACGAGATCTATAAAACCTGTTCTATAAGGAAAGTCTAAAGGAACCAAGACTGTCTACTCTGAAACAGAGAGATATGCCTGTATCTAACCATCCTCTTCTATTTTTGGCTGGTCTATGTCTCAATTTCCCTGGTTTTCCACACCTTCACTGAATTCCACTTCATTTGGGGTGGGAGGCAGTGTCTGAATGGGAGGTTTATTTCTCTTCGCTGAACAGTTTCCTCATTCCTTGATTTTTAATCACGACATTTCTTTCTCCCATCCCATTCCCCTGGCCAGAATTTGAATGTGAGTTGTTGTGGTAGTTTGGCTTAGATTTTTTAGGGATGCTGTATGGAATGTATTTTCTTCCTCCTTTTAGATCTCTGTCTAGTTTCATTCTCTGCTTACCTCAGTCTTTATTTCAAAGATAAAACTTGCTACCCATTAATTTCACCATCTCTCCTGATTCTACCCTTCCTTTTGCTCTTTCTCATTTCAGTGTCCTTGTATTTCCTTTTATCCTTGGGATCTTCCATAATCTGAAAGGGGGGGGGAGGGGAGGAGGGAGACCAAATCTAACAAAACTAGCAATATCTTTTCTATAGTTTCTTCTGCAGCTACTGTCTGCAACTTTGTCTCATGTTCTCTACTACCCATTCGCACATACCTTACTTTTTTTTTTTTTTTTTCCCCTTCACTTCATCCCTCCTAGATGAAACAGTCAACACCTGGCAAGTTTTTCTACACTTCGTATGCTTTGGGAACATTTAATTTTAAATGAACAACTAATAAATTCATAACAATTTTCACGCTACAAAGTTGCTTTTCTCTTTTCCCAGAGCCTTCCTCTACAGGCCCTAAATTATATTTCGAGTCCTACATATATTTTAGTCACTGCTCCATTTTTATTTCGTATTTATCCTACATTACAAGCCACTATCATGAACTTAATCTGTGTAAAACATGCTTTTGCAAATTTTCTTTCCAAATACACTTACAGGAGTTATACCTTGAAAATAATCTAATTGAAGAAGTATCAGAAATTTGCTTTAACCATACAAGAAACATAAATGTCATTATGCTAAAGCATAATAAATTAGAAGAGCACAGAATAGCACCTTTGGCTTGGATAAACCAAGAGTAAGTACAAATTATTCAAAATATAATTATTTTTCTCTATTATTAGTGAGTCAGATAATGAAATAATTATTTCAACTTCATTACTTTTAACTTGAAATTGTACTTATTATTTGATTTGTTATCCTTAGCTAATTTCTCTTAATTTCCTTTGCTTAAATTGTATAACCTAGGAAGTATTCAGCTGGATTTCAAACAAAAAGATCTTATATCTCAAATCTGTACCATATTAACATAAAATCCCAAGTATTTTTTCTGACCATCTAATTAAAAAATGAACAATCATTATCAATAATACTCCATACAATTCTTTTGGTGTTAATATATAATCCTCAAAGGTAATTTAAAAAGAAGTTAATATTTTCCTAGCCTTATTTCTCATTAGATTAAAAATTATGAAAGTAAATAAGATGAAGGGAACGCTGTGCAGCCGCATTGTATGAAAGTAGAATAAAAGCAGAGCAAGCAATGAGGACGAAAGAAGCAAAAGACAATACTGCTTTTGATTCTTCTGGTAAATTGTTTGCTAAGCTATGAATTGTACCTCGTCACAACCTATCAGCTGCAGCACTATCAGTCAATTTCTGGATTTGTAAACTGCTTAATCTGAAAACCACCACACTGTTACTAACAGCTTCTCTCATCTCTGGAAGTGAAGTACACTGGAATAATTCTAAGGGAGCCATTCACAAAACAATTCAATTTCAAATGGGCTTTAGAACAAAATTTAAAAATCTGAGGCAATGGGATAACCACTGAAGTCCCAAGCTGCTTATGTGTTTTCCAGTGTAACTCATTATAGCAATTCTGCAACGTCTATCAATCACAAATTAGTCCCTTGGGTTTCCCCTATTCAACTCTGTATTCATTACTGTAGACTTTTTCCCATCAATGGAATTGCTGTGCTTGATTGATAATTAATGACTTAAATTCCTTCTATACCCAGAGTAATTATGCATAAACATGTTCCATAAAATATATTGTTCCATTAACAGAAAAAAATTTCCCTTTGAAATTTAGTTTCCTTGTAAGCATGCGAAGCACTATTTTGTACAGAACGTAGCATTAACAATGTTGTATGCTATGATGTTTTCATGCCCCCCCCCCCCCCCTTTTTTCTCCTTTAATGCAGGAACTTGGAATCAATTGATCTCTCTTATAATAAGTTATATCACGTTCCCTCCTATTTGCCAAAATCTTTACTACATCTGATACTTATAGGAAATCAGATTGAAAGAATTCCAGGATATGTATTTGGTCACATGAAGCCAGGGCTGGAGTATCTCTACCTGTCCTTTAACAAACTTACTGATGATGGAATAGATCCAGTATCATTTTTTGGAGCATATCACTCTCTGAGAGAGTTGTTTTTGGATCACAATGAATTAAAGTCTGTACCATTTGGAATAGATGAAATGAGAAAACTACGTTTTCTAAGATTGAACAACAATAAAATAAGGTAATTTCCAAGTTCTTTGTTACATTAATGGCATTAAAATAAATGTAACAAGACATGCTTTGTTTTAAGAACTTTTTAATTTTAAGTAAACCTTTTTTAACAAACTCTGAAAGAGCAGATAAATCCTGCATTTTCTCCTGCTGTATTTCTGCATATAATAAGAGAAAATTAAGATTTTTACCCTCCTTATATTTTTGAAAATGCTCACAAAGGTGAGCACCACTTCTCTTCAGGAAATTAATCTGTAAAACTGCTTGGGCCACATGTCCAGTGGGGCAGCTACAATTTGATAGGCACAGGAGTCCCACCAGCTTTTTCTGCTCTTGTACCTGAGCCCAGGCTGGTTACAAAAGAAGTGGAAGGAGTCATCAGCTGCTGATGGCCACTGAGAGTGGCCTCTGGGCGGGTTTCAGCCAGCCCCAGATGTGAAGCTGGGCATGCTCTCGTTCCTCTGTACCACTTGCAAGCGAAGGAATGACAGGCAGAGGGTCTTACATGTGTTAAACAGAGTGGTCACTCAGCAACACATGGCAATACTTTCCTCAGGAAAACTGAGCATACGATATAAATGTGAAAGCAATGCAAGGAGAAAATTTTAAAAAGAATGACTTGTAAAAGTCCTTAATAAATGTATTACTGAGAAAATTTAATGTACTGATTAAGCTAACATTTTCAACTCTCTAAATAAACAACATCTCTAACATAAATTATGAAGTTACTTGAATAATTAAAATACAATTCTTCCCCCAATGTCACAGGACAGTCCCTCCAGAACGCATCTGCAGGACTCATACCAGCGATGACGATGCTCATGAGAACAGTGAAGAGGAAGAGAATGAAGAGTCACGCTTGGAACACGTTCATCTTGAAAACAACTATATCAATACAAGACAGCTATCACCACATGCTTTTTCATGCATCAGATCCTACTGCAGTGTTGTTCTTAAACCACAGAAGATCTAATAAACACCCAGCTTTTGCACTGCAACCCCTATTCTCTAGAAACAGAGCTTTATTTATTCTCTGCTACTAACAAGTCTGCTTATGTCCTATTTAAACCCTTCTTACTACTATAAATAAGATACAGTATATTGTATACTGAAATAAGGTAATAGGGTATTGCTTAATATCATTTCATTATTAAATGTAAAAATAGAAGTTCAAGATTATGTCATAAATTTTTACTTCTATTGACATAAATTCTACTTAAACACAATTGATCAAATGGTGCCCCCAGATATATCCCCACAAGATCAGATTTTAGAAAATAATATAACCAAATCCTCAACTTTCTCCTGTCTTATTTGATTAACTGAATTGAAAGTATTTTAAATGGTAGCATCAGCTTTAATAATAAAAAATAATAAAAATAGAAGTCCTTCAGCTACACTACATTCTAGCAGTATAAGAATCAAATTTAAAACAGACATGGTACTGGATTTTCCAGCAATAATTTTGCAGTGATAAATTATCTTCCAACTGAAATTTCACAGGAAAAAAAAAAAAGTGTTAAATTGTTTGCTTTAGAGAGATGACCTTGAAAGCTCATCAGATTGTGTGTTTGAACACAGGGAGCTAGAGGAGTGAGCAATTAATTTCTATACGGATGTGGGTTTTTTTTTTCTTTTAAACAAAGTTTATTTGAATTAAAAACAAACAAACAAAAAAACCCACAAAACCTCAGAGAATGTAGGTCCCATTCAGTTGTACAATAGTTTGATAGCTTTTTGCACTGTATAGGATCAGGATCAAGTTGCCCATTTAGGGGACTAATTAGACTTTGTCAACCCTACGAAATATTCAGTTAGTGATTATTTGAAAGCTTCTAGAGTCATAGATCACCACTTCAGAGACAATGTTGATAAAGGAGTTTCAGTAAAACATAAAAGTTGGACCAGATGACCTTTGACATCCCTTCCAACTTGGCATTCTATGATTATATGATTTGACATGAATGTCTGCTTAGGCACACAACAGTAAGTGTTCACAAACAGATCTCGCTTTCCCTAGAAAGGTGTTCAGTCTCTTGAAGAAAAGCAGCATTTTTAATATTCCACTACAGGTTTTAATATTATATTATTTCTCTAAAGTAGCAAAAAAATGGATACAAAGTAGTTAATGTTTTTATTTTAAAGAACAACTTCAATAAAAATTGAAATTAATTCTAACATCTTTCATATTACTCAATTCCTATAGGCCTTTCTTATAAGAGTAAGCTGGTGGTAGGAAATGATTACAGATCACTGGCAAGTCATTATTCTTCACACAGACTCTGCTTCCTCTGAGATATTCTGTGAGGCATAACAAAATATGTACTCTTTTTTTTCTTCAGTACTGTAGCTATGCTGCCTAACAATTTCTTCTTCAGAATGGACCAGAACAAAGGATGAAATGGCTTAAAACACAGTTTGACTTTTTTGGAGGCATATAAAAGCTGTAAGCATCTGCACATTATAAAACCTTCCAAGGACACCTATTAACTACTGAACTGTAACTTCATTGCCCTCACTCTGGAAGTGAAGGCTTCACTGTGCATTTCCCCCACATCCCAGTCTACTGCCAACAGACACATCAGTGTAAGCACACTTCTCACACAACACTTAACAGTGAAGAATCTCCAAACTTTTTTTTTTTTTTTTTTTTAAGCTTATTGTGGACAGCATACATCTACACAAGTTTCATTTTTTCTGAAGCTATACAATCATGATGAAAACAAAATCACATTGCTCCATCTCAAAGTTCTCTCTTAAATAAACGATTATCTGCAAGGCACACTGGTACTTCATCTGCAGCGAGTCAAAAGATAATGTATTTCTTTTTCAAAATAATCCTACAATGTGTGGATTTCTGTAGAAAGATTGCTTTGGATATTTTGTTTGGTAAAGTATGGTTAGAAGTCATACCTTAATGATTGTTAAGTTTGGTAAAGAACAGTGAAATCGACAGGCTGATTTTTTACATGCAATGTTCTCTTCGGGGTGATGATTTTATTGCTTGTGTACTTTTAACATTTGATTCCTTCCTTCCTTTTCACTTTGGCTAATATTCCTTTGTCTTTGTCAAACACCATTAAGTTCCCAAACTACTGTTTTGAGAGACTAAAAGAACTAAATTATTAATACTTTCAGTCTATTTCTAAATAACTTCAGACTTACTTTGCAACACTGCTGAGCAGTGCTTTCAGAAGTTTTACTAAGCATTTTGAATACATGGATTGACCAAGGGAGGGATTTCCAGGTAAACAAGCTGCTGTATTACACCATTTTATGCATTCTTATAATAAATGTAAGCAAAACACCACATATTGCTGCAATTATTTTCATTCAAATAGAATACTTTTCTTATCAAAATGTTCAGACCCACTAGAAAATCTCCGCTGGATTTGCACGGGATAAGACTGCTAAAATACAGACAACTAAAGATTTATTGTGACCATTAATGTACTTTTTTCTCCAATATGTGCTTTTTCATTTTTAAGATCTCATCAAAATGCATTTTATGCAAGTCATTTGTCTAAGATTTTTCCTTTGGTCATTTAATGTAATGAGTATCAAGCTTGCCTGAAAGTATGCTAAGTTGTTCCTATAAGAAGCACTGAGCCACATAATATGACCTAAAGTAAAGTTACAGTGCAAATGTAATGCCACAGTAGTGAAACAGAGAGACTGAAGGAAAAACATGTTGGAATTGGAACACAACAGCAGCAGAGGCAGAATACCAAGGAGGACAAAGCAGCCGAGGGATGAAGGGTATGCAACAAACGGATGCTTACTCACTTAAGAAATACATGGGCAATTAAACCTGGGTAACATTTCCATATGTCAAATATAAGCAGTTTAAGTCTGCTTGCTCTTCAGAATTACCAACTATACTGGAAGTCAAATGGACTTTATTATGAAAAAATCCAACTACTTTTTAACAGTAAGCCTCAAATGCTTTTATGAACAAAGTAAATAGGATTATCACCATTTTAGAGCTTGTGACAGTAAGATAGAGAAGTGACCTGACCATGCTCGGTCAAGAAAAATATTGGAACAAATACAGACTCTGGCCACCAGAAGGATAAAATATGCAAGGACAACTCAACACAAAGCCCCTACAGTTACTGTTTATTCTCTAAAACATATTTGAGCAAATAATTTCTGCAGGCTTACACTGGAAATTAATATTCCTCAGGAAGGCAATTAGATTGAGAATGGAATATAGTTCTGCTGAAGTATTATCAGACTGAGAAGTCTTATAAAATAGTATGGACCAAACCCTGTCATAGCCATTAGATATTCTTGTGGAACTGAAATAACTTGTTTGAACCCAGTCATACTGGTCCTTTGAAAATTTATTGTCTTACAGAAGTAGGCACCACTTGATATTTTAGTCTGACAAGAAGCTCAATTGAAAGAAACTGGGAGAGCCTTCACATTATTCCTAGATAAGTGGAATAATAACTGCCCACAGAAAGTCACTGTATGCAAATCAGCAAGTCCTTGATGAGAATGTGGTTTGAGGAAGAAAACTGTTAAGCCAAACAAGTAACAATTTTGACAATCGGATCTGGGTAGATGCACAGAAGTACTCACGTTTCTTCTGTTCTCCAGATGCAGATGTAGCTGGAATTTGTATTCACAGATCAATTCAAGAGAGAACAAGCTGCAAGTTGCTAAGACTTCAGAGATGTTCCATCAGAATTTTTTTTAATCATTTCAGAAAGGAAGCTACTTAGAGTAAGGCAAAAAACCTGAATAATTTTTTTTAGTAACCCAACCTGAGACAAATGTGAGGTAAATGTATCTGAATACAAAGATGTAATGTAAATGTTGAAACTATGAGATGGTAAGATATTCTAAAGTCAGTAAGAGATTCAGAATTGCAAAGGTTAGGGTTCAATAGCTGTAGCAATTCCAGAACCACAATGCTTTGTGGCAAGAGAGGAATTTTAGGGCTTTAGACTCTCTGTCTGTTATATTTCCAAATTCTGACTTGCATTGTTGGCTCATCCATCATACAAAAGAATTTGGACAAGACCCGCTAAAACCTTCAGGTAGGTTCCATTATAAATTCAAACATAACAGAAGGCATCTTGTGGTTATCACCATATTAATAAAATGGTATCGACACTGACATTTTTATTGAGTAGGATTTTTCTACCGGCTAAATGATGACAGAACTTTGAGGATCTGCCTGAACTGTTGCTTTGTGCACAGGGACACACACTTCTGGTAAAATAAAAACTGCAAAGCAAAATAGGATTGTTACCACAGAAGCTTGGGTAGCTTTCTGATTCTGAAGCAGTGATGTTTCCTCTAAGATAAGGTAAAAGATCTTTCCTTAGTAAAGAAAAAAACCTCAGAAAAACAAAGACATCAAATGCCTCCCAAAGTGAGATTGTTATTATTAATTCCCATGTGTTGAGGCTGTTAGAACTTCTGAGACCCCCAAAATGCAGGGCTCGGAGTATACACCCTTCTCCATTTTCCATTTCAATTTAATATCGAACAGAGATCAAACCTACAAATCACGCAACTTTGCCATAAAAGGGAGTTTGAAGCATGACCACTAGCTTTCTAGTGGCCCAAGACAACAAAGTGAGTTCTAGCCAATGAATTCTCTTTTACGTAACACTACAGAGCATCATGCTTGCACTGCAAATATTCCTTAGCATTCAATAAGAAAAAGAATCAGAACGTGAAAGCATGATTTTATAATTTCTCTACCAACAATTCGGTTACTCTTTTACTGAAATAAATCAATGAACTTTTAAGACCTCTCTCAAGTCACAACTATTATAAAGTTATATCACAGCAACAAAATAAACAGTTTATCTTTTCTGTTGTATAGTAATACAAATGTTAACTAATTGAAACTCTCATGAGAAAACATTTTCTAAGTACTCTGTTTATATTCTAATGTATACAATTTCCAGAGAACACAAGACTATAGACAGTAAAATATTAGAAATATGAGAAAATACTACCAAAATAATTTTACACAATAATCCTGATGACTTTCTGTATGAAGCAGTTTTCAGAAAACAAGTCTGCATATTGTAAGTTTGTAGACCAATACAATATCTGGTGCTCTGGAAGTTTGAAGCTTCCTTAAGTGAGCTTCAAGATTTCTACTCATATGGAAGTGTAGGTACTTAAAAATGAAACCACAGGGACCTGCCTATATCCTTTTTGGATTTACAACCTGAAACAACCAACAAAGGGTCACTCCTTTTGCTTAAATGCAGAAAGCAACAGTAAACATGCAGTACCAACATGAGTTACAACTTTTATACAAGCACTCCTTGCTAAAGTTATCTATCAAGTTTTGGAAGATCAAAATTCAGGTCAAACTGCTGTTTAAAGGGGGTCAGAATCATACTGTGACCATCTTGTAGAACATCCCAACCACAGCAGTAAAGCCTACTTTGGAAAGAGTGCGTGTTTTTAGAGAGACTTCCTTTTAAAGCTGGTTTTGCATGAAGGAAGTATTCAAAGATTTAGTGGACCAGAAACAGCAGTCAACCATGTAACTTACACTCCTTTGGAGGAAACCCTGCATAACAGTCTTACTGTCTTCTTGAAAAGTGAAAAAGGTATAAACATCCATCCAAAAAGACCAGTTCATAATAACATGTTTGACTTATTCAGTAGACATACATTCCTGTTTTCTTAATGAACAAAAGAGAGATCCCTATTGCTCTTGCTTATTTAGTAATGTTACCCTTCTATTATAGCTACTTACCATTAAATCCCAAACTCTCTATTTCAAGAGGAAAGGCTTTAATTTTACTTCTCTTGGAACACTGAAAACCATTTTAAATGGGGAAAAAACAGCGGACGTGAAATAAGAGCTCTGATTTAATGATGTCAACAACTTCTGTACAGTTGCAAGGCCCAAAATATTGTGGAAAAATGTTGGAATGCTTTTTCCATCTAAAAGTAGTGAAGACATTACTTACAAAACTTCTAAATGTATTAAACAGATCTCTGCCTCCACACTAAGCAATAATCATATGATCAAAATGAACTTAGCTTTTTCCTTTCTTAATAAATTAACCTATTACTCAAAAGTTTTATACTGATTCAGGCATCAAGCATCTATACTCAAATGCTAGCAAGCATAATTTTAACAATGTTGTTACAACCGCTACAATGAAATTCAATGGAAATACATTGCTTTAATGTTCCAAATATCTAAGTTACAAAGCTGCATTACACATATAATGTTCCTTGTTAACAGACACCTTGTTCCATATCAAAATTCCATCAGGATAGACCCATAAAGACTTAGCACTGTTTTTTAACTTTTCACCTTAAGAAACGACCAAAGAATATCAAACAGAACTTTTCATAAACATCTTCCAATATATATGATGTAAGACGAACAAGTTGGAACAGTTACTATGTCATTGAGTTACCTTTGGGAAAACATTTATATACCACTGTACATCCCTGAAAGAACTTACAAGTACTGCACAAAACATTTTTGATCACACCAAAAGACAATTAATGATAAACTATCATCCATTTTGTGATATTGAAATACTCCAGTTAGTAAAGCAAAACTAACCCAACAGATTTGCTAGCATTATGATAGCATTCAACTTTTTCACACAATAAATGCCCTTATCTAAACTTGATAATGTTTGATAAGTCTTAAAAGGAATGGCATAAAAATAGCCAAATTACCTCAGGGTGAATCTCAAAACTAAATGAAACAGCTGTCTTAAGCACAGCTTTATTTTGCATCAAGGAAACTAAAAGCAAAGGAACACCATAAACAGCAATAGCCTTTCTCTGTGGAATTATTTTTGGTCACTGTCAAAGACAGGGGACTGGATTAGATGGGCTCTGATCTGATCCAGCACAGCTGTTTTTATGCTCTTACATACTTTATACATGGCCCTGCCTAATTGCTACTGAACATAATTTTGCACGTTTCCATTAAGTGCTTACTGACTTTATCAGCCTGTGAACACAGTTAATAAAGTTTCCCAATACACAATCTGGTCATTGCTTTGAAGCTTCTTGCAGCAATACACGACTGCCTCTTTTCAGTCATGTCTGTTAAAAATTCCCACCAATGAACTGAGTTTCCCAGGATACAAGATACAAACAAAGTGGAATCTTATTTGAACAGTGAGGTGGGCTGGAGGCGGATGACAATTTTACCTCCTGTCATTGCCCAATAGATGAGCACTATCATATGAGCCCACACAGTTTAGATGAATTATTCTGTTACTCACTAAAACTAGAAGTAAAGTTTGATCTGTATTTCATACAGGTCTGTCTTGCATTGATGCCTATACCTGG